CCCTGCCATGCTGGGATTCTGTGACCTGACGCTGGTGCACTCAAAACCCCAGTGCCACGGGAAGCGCTCTGTGCTTCCAGCATCTAATCACCCCAGACGCGCTCCCTGTGCCAACACTTCAAATATTCCAGGTCTGAACACTTGCAAGTGAGATTACGGGGTGAGAAGCTGCCGAACGGAGCTTGGTTTGTCTCCTTTATCCCTCCCATACGAGCAGACATATGCAGTGCTCGCTGCAACGTTAGCGTTCCACGAGGCAGTCCCACATGGCCACCGCCACGGTCTGTGCAGTCTGTCCTGGACTTTCAACAGAACCGCCGCGGTGCTTGCAGCGAGAGCTTTCCCAGCAACAACCCGCTGCCAAGTGGCACAGGCTGGCGCAGGGAGCGCCGGCAAGCCCCAGCAGTCCCCTGTCACCTTCAGAAAGGGGATCACAAACGGCCGGAGGGGGAAATTCGTCGCCTCTTGCAGCTTGCAGTGAAATTCCTCGATCGTCACCGTTGAGTTCTGCGAAAAGAAATTAAGAAACGAAATGACAATTCTTATTTTTAGACACGTGGGAAACAGCTCCAAACGAACAGAACTGGGAGGGAGACTGCATCTGCTGCTACAGGACTGACAACATTCGCATCAGATCCTGCCTAGCGCAGCCAAAAAGACTCGGGCCAACGGAGCAGAAACGCTGCGCTAGGCGAGGGGTGAACGCCACACACGGCCGGGCACGGCCTGGCCCAGCATCCTCCCAGCTCCGGGGCCAGCAGGACCCAGCTGGCATCTCCTGCCCCCAGGCCAGATGGCTGCGGGGAGCCAGCCAGCGCCTGCAGCTGCTCAGGGCCGCATGCCTTCCTCCCCTCCTTCCGCCCTTCCAGCTGACCTCGCCCAATCCATCCACCACCCAGCAGTCTCCACTGCCCACTGCTCACCCCACCAGCACGGTCCTCCCCTGGCCCACCCTTGCATCCCCCAGGGCTGTAGCAGCTGGGTGCTCCCTGGCAGCAGCAGCGTTTGAGAAGCCGCACGTACAAAGTTCACCCTGCAGCAATTACGGCAATCAGTGCTGAGAACAACAGTCAGAGGGACCCGGACAGCTTATCATTTCCTTTCCAAAAGGCTAAGCCAAGGCACGACCCTACGCCCATGGAAACGCACGCGCCTGCCTTCTTCAGCAGCAGCAGCACCCAGCGCTGGAGCCCCGTGACAGCCCCCGAGGCCGTGGACAGACCCATGTTTGCTCTGCCCACGCCAACCATGGAAGCAGACATGCTGCGGGGTGCCGGCAGTC